CTTTCGGCTTCAGTTCTACTTTCGGCTTCAGTTCTACTTTCGGCTTCAGTTCTACTTTCGGCTTCAGTTCTACTTTCGACTTCAGTTCTACTTTCGACTTCAGTTCTACTTTCGACTTCAGTTCTACTTTTGACTTCAGTTCTACTTTCGGCTTCAGTTCTACTTTTGACTTCAGTTCTACTTTCGGCTTCAGTTCTACTTTTGACTTCAGTTCTACTTTCGGCTTCAGTTTCACCACCAAAATCCACGGCCATCTTTTTTTTCCCAAAAGAATTTTTTTTTTTAGTTTAAAAAATTATTTGAAAAAATAATTTAACAAATGCATCGAATTAAAATACGTATGTCAGTTATGAAATCTTCTCTTATTTAATTCATCTTATTGAAATTATTGTTGATGAAAAGACAAACGGCATTACGATAAGTTTTTATTAGTTATTTTTATTTCAAATTCAATGATACATATAACTATTAAAAAAACATATTGTATTTCAAAGTCACTACAAGTACTCATATAATTAATTGGAAAACATATAAAAAAACATACGCACATTTTTAACCCTCTCACCCCCTTATTTAAACAACAACACACACAAAATGTAATTACCTTTGATTTAAAACAGTTTTCCCCCACACTGCAGTGGCGCGTTGCAGACTATAAGCAAAAAAAGATCTATCGACTTGTTGAAATTATGCCCGGTTCACACGATCAGATTTGCGTAAAATATGATCGTGTGAACGGAGTATTGGACAAACTGTTTCGATGGAACGCACTGTGTCGGCCAAAATGCGAAGAATTTTGTTTTTCGCAAGATAAATTGGTTTAAAAAACTCCTGACTGAATTATCCCCTAGACTTGTATTCACTTGTATCTATTTGCATTTCGTTTGTCTCTTAACATTATGTAGTTGTTCTTTTTTATAGTTCCCACTAAATGGCCACCAGAAAGAACGGCTAACAGAGTTGATTTTTTTAAATCCGTTAATCCAGGGAATAGAGATTTTATTATTAGGATATATTATCGATTGCTTCAGTCTTTGATTTTAAATAAACTCTTCTTGAGAAAGAACACGTCGATGTTCCGGCCAATCTTGCTGAGGTCCACGGGCGAGTACTCCTTTCCCTTTAACGAGGCAACGTATCCGTGGGCGGCCATGAAGTTCAAGATGGGCACGCTCTCCTCGGGGACGCGCCTGTGCCACTCCATCTGGACGACCCGGACGTTGACCTCGTGGAAGAACTTGTGTGCACACACGAGCGCGTGCTGCTCCGTGTTCTCGATGTCCATCTTCAGGTACACGTTCCGGCCTCTCATCAGGGGCGTCAGGTCGTCTATGCAGATGGTCTTCACCACCACCTTCCTGGACTGATCAACCCGGTCGAGACCGAACGGCTTGGATACGTTGAGGCGACTTGTGCCTAAGCTTTTTCTAGAAACAAACAAAAAACATTTTAAAAATTAGAATTTAAAAATAAATATCTTTTGGAATCCCACAATTCTTGCTGATAGAGATTCTAAAAAAAAAGTTTTTTTTTTTAAAAATCAAATGTTTTTAAACATTGAAACTCTAAAATAAGGTAACACATACATCCCACCATTCATTTTGTACGAATTGCTAACCTCTACATCAGTTATTGGATGACAACAACAAAAAAACAAACATACAAAAAAGCATTACATGGGGCACAACTGCCTCATTTAACAATGCAAAATTGTTGCAACGGTTGTCTCTCCTGATGACTTATTAAGTCTCTACATCCACTACGTCATATTGACCTGTGACGGAAACGACGTGGACAGGTCCAAACTCAAGTCAGTTTAAACTTTAAAAATACGAAAGGTAAGCGGACACAAACATTGGTGCCGACAGATATAATTAGGTAGTTTGAAAACTCTTGATGTGTTTAGGTAGCAAAAAAAAAAAAAAAACGTCTGATATGTTGAGGTAGCACGAAATGGGTGCACATTTATTGAATCAGTAGCTCTTAAATTTGTGTTGTAATTATGATTTATTCTCAAAATTATTTTTTAAAATCAAAATCTCCTTTAAATTTTTTCTAACATTTGCAAATTCATGTCACAGAGTATTTTAGCTCAAAAGAGAGTATTTTAATCCTTAAATCATCAACTCATTCGTTCATCCATCAATCAATACATCCATCTATTAATTTATGTATCCATTTAATTATCCATCCATTCATTTATTTATTCATGCATCCGTTCATCCATCCACTCACCCATCCATCAATCCATCTATTCATCCATTGTTTTATTCATTCATTAATTCATATGTCCATCCATCTATACATCAATAAACTCATTCCTTTATTTATTCATTTATTCATACATCAATCCATCTGTTTATTCCTTCATTCATTCATCCATTCATTGATTCATCCATTTATCCACCCATTCATTCATTCATCCATCCATCCATTCATTAATTAATTAACTCATCCACACATCCATTTATTTACCCATCCAACCTTTCATCCATTCACTCAACGATCCATCAATCCATCTCTCCACCCACTGTTGTATTAATTGATTTCTTTATTTATTCATCCATCCATCTATACATCCATATATTTATTCCTTTATTTATTCCATTATTCATACATCAATCTATACATTCATTCATCCATTAATCAATCCATCCATTCATTCATTCAGTCATTTATGCATGCATTCATTCGTCCATCCACTTATCCGTCCATCCAGTTATCCATTCATCCATTTATCCATCCATCATTCATTCATTTATTTATTCATTTATTCATTCATCCATCCATTTATTCATCCATTTATCCATTGATTTATCCATCCTTTCATCCATCCATCCATCAATTCATTCATTCATTTATCTATTCATTCATTCATCCATTTATCCATGCATCCATTTATCTTTTCCATTTATTCATTCATCAAGCTATCCATCCATTTTTCCATCCATGCATTCATTCAGTATTTTAAATAAGCCTTAATATCATCGCAATATGAACGATCGCCGTCACCTTATAAAAGTAGTTTCCAAGGACCGATGGTCGCTGTAGAGGGCGTTGTTGACGATGGTCACCTGGTTGCTGAGCCCGCTAAGCTTGAGCGCCATCTGCACGCGCTGCACGTTGTCCATCAGCATCTCGACGCAGACCACTGCCCGGCCTAGCGCCACCGCCCAGAGGGTGTACTCGCCGATGTTGCAGCCGACATCAAACAACATCAGACTCTCGTCTTGCTTTAAACATCAAATAGATGGGGTTTTGAATATATATACATGTACTTATAAATATATATGGAATTAATTTCGCCCTGGGATTTCGAAGGATCCCCGGATGAGAGTAACTTTCAGGAATAAGGGAACCCCGGGGAATGAGATAGACTACTGCTGGGGAATGAAACTAGTGCTGGGGGATGAGATAGGCTACAGCTCGGGCATGAGATAGACTACTGCTGAGAATCACCAGTTTTTAGGTGAGTGGGGTTCTTGGCTAAGGCATACGCATCCATCCTCCACCCTTTCCCTTCACCTCTCCACCCTTTCCCTTCACCTCCCCACCCTCTCCCTTCCCCTCCCCCCCCCCCTCCCCTCCCCTCCCCCCCCCC